GACCTTAATCCCATAGAAAATCTGTGGAGGGAGCTGAAGGTTCGAGTTGCCAAACGTCAGGCTCGAAACCTTAATGATCTGCAAAGAGGAGTGGGACAAAATCCCTCCTGAGATGTGTGCAAACCTGGTGGCCAACTACAAGAAACGTCTGACCTCTGTGATTGCCAACAAGGGTTTTGCCACCAAGTACTAAGTCATGTTTTGCAGAGGGGTCAAATACTTATTTCCCTCATTAAAATGCAAATCAATTTATAACATTTTTGACATGCGTTTTTCTGGATTTTTTTGTTGTTATTCTGTCTCACACTGTTCAATAAACCTACCATAAAAATTATAGACTGTCATTTCTCTTGTCAGTGGCAACGTACAAAATCACAGGGATGAAATCTTTTTCCCTCACTGTAGTGGTCCCAGGAATCGAACCCACTACGCTGGTGATACAAGTGCCATGCTCTACCAACTGAGCTGCAAAGGACCATATACACTGAGTGTACAAAACATTAAGAACTCTCTTTTCATGACATAGACTGACCATGTGAATCCAGGTGAAAGCTATGATCCCTTATTGATGTCACTTGTTAAATCCACTTCAATCAGTGTAGATGAAAGGGAGGACAGGGTAGCCCTTTCCTGCAGTCAATGACCAAAAGCACCCTCTTCGGCCTCATGGGTGGAATGTTATTAATATTTTTCGTAATTTCATACTTAAAGATTATTTTTAAAAACCTGATGCAAATCCGGTGTTTCTATGTCAAACAGTTTTGTTATATTTCAGTCTTCTGTGATGTATATAAAATGTCATATTGGGATGCAAACTCAAAATTGAATAAGTTTAAACTCTATACCTGACATGGTACAGGTGTCTTCTTTTTTTAAGCCCATAACCATGTGTGTGAGGTGTATACTTTTGTTTCAAAGTAGATGTGTTTAAGATTACCCTGATTTAGCCCAATGCAGGAAAAAGGTTGAAGAAGGATTTTGAAGCCTTGAGACAATTGAGACATTCATTGTGTATGAATACCATTCAAAAGGGGAATGGGCAAGACAAAATATTTAAGTGCATTTGAACGGGGTATGGTAGTAGGTGCCAGGCGTACTGGTTTGTGTCAAGAACTGCAATGCTGCTGGGTTTTTCACGCTCAACAGTTTCCTGTGTAGCTTAGTTGGTAGAGCATGGCGCTTGCAACGCCAGGGTTGTGGGTTCAATTCCGCCAGGGGGGCCAGTATGAAAATGTATGCACTCACTAACTGTAAGTCGCTCTGGATAAGAGCGTCTGCTAAATGACGTAAATGTAAAATGTATCAAGAATGGTCCACCATCCAAAGGACATCCAGCCGACTTGACACAACTGTGGGAAGCATTCGAGTCAACATTGGCCAGCATCCCTGTGGAACACTTTCGACACCTTGTACAGTCCATGTCCCAACAAATTGAGTCTGTTCTTAGGGCAAAGGGGGAGGGGGATTGCAACTCAATATTAGGAAGGTGTTCCTAATGTTTGGTATAGTCAGTATATACACTAACAGTCAAAGGTTTGGACACACCTAACCGTTCAAGGGTTTTTCTTTATTTTTACTATTTTTTACATTGTAGAATAATAGTGAAGACATCAAAACTATGAAATAACACATATGAAATCAGGTGGTAACCAAAAAAGTGTTAAACAAATCAAAATATATTTTATATTAGAGATTCTTCAAATAGCCACCATTTGCCTTGATGACAGCTTTGCACACTCTTGGCATTCTCTCAACCAGCTTCATGAGGTAGTCACCTGGAATGCATTTCAATTAACAGGTGTGAGTTCTTAAAAGTACATTTGTGGAATTTCTTTCCTTCTTAATGCGTTTGAGCCAATCAGTTGTGTTGTGACAAGGTAAAGGTAGTATACAGAAGATAGCATACAGTATGAAAATGTATGCACTCACTAACTGTAAGTCGCTCTGGATAAGAGCGTCTGCTAAATGACTAAAATGTAAATGTAATAGCAATATTTGGTAAAAGACCAAGTCCATATTATGGCAAGAACAGCTCAAATAAGCAAAGAAAAATGACAGTCCATCATTACTTTAAGACATGAAGGTCAGTCAATACGGAACATTTCAAGAACTTTGAAAGTTTCTTCAAGTGCAGTCGCAAAAACCATCAAGCGCTATGATGAAACTGGCTCTCATGAGGACCGCCACAGGAATGGAAGACCCAGAGTTACCTCTGCTGCAGAGAATAAGTTCATTGGAGTTACCAGCCTCAGAAATTGCAGCCCAAATAAATTATTCACAGAGTTAAAGTCACAGACACATCTCAACATCAACTGTTCAGAGAGGACTGTGTGAATCAGGCCTTCATGTTCGATTTGCTGCAAAGAAACCACTACTAAAGGACACCAATAAGCTTAGTGGGACTATCATTTGTTTTTCAACAGGACAATGACCCAACACACATCCAGGCTGTGTAAGGGCTATTTTACCAAGAAGGAGAGTGATGAAGTGCTACATCAGTTAACCTGGCCTCCACAATCCCCAGACCTCAACCCAATTGAGATGGTTTGGGATGAGTCGGACGGCAGAGTGAAGGAAAAGCAGCCAACAAGTGCTCAGCATATGTGGGAACTCCTTCAAGACTGTTGGAAAAGCATTCCAGGTGAAGCTGGTTGAGAGAATGCCAAGAGTGTGCAAAGCTGTCATAAAGGCAAAGGGTGGCTATTTGAATAATCTCAAATATAAAATATATTTTGATTTGTTTAACAATTTTTTGGTTACCACATGATTCCATATGTGTTATTTCATAGTTTTGATGTCTTCGCTATTATTCTACAATGTAGAAAATAGTATAAATAAAGAAAAACCCTTGAATGAGTATGTGTCCAAACTTTTGACTGGTACTGTATATGTACTATATATACACACAACATGACCAATAGTATGTGGACACCTGCTCGTCGAACATCTCATTCCAAAATCATGGGCATTAATATGGAGTTGGTCCCCCCTTTGCTGCTATAACAGCCTCCACTCTTCTGGGAAGGCGTGTTGGAACATTGCTGAGGGGATTTGCTTCCATTCAGCCACAAGAGCATGATTGAGGCCGGGCAATGATGCTCGGCGATTAGGCCTGGCTCGCAGTCGGCGTTCCAATTCATCCCAAAGGTGTTCGATGAGGTTGAGGTCAGGGCTCTGTACAGGCCAGTCAAGTTCTTCCACACCGATCTCGACAAACCATTTCTGTATGGACCTCGCTTTGTGCACAGGGGCATTGTCATGCTGAAACAGGAAAGGGCCTTCCCCAAACTGTTGCCACAAAGTTGGAAGCACATAATCATCTAGAATGTCATTGTATGCTGTAGGATTAAGATTTCCCTTCGCTGGAACTAAGGGGCCTATCCCGAACCATGAATAACAGCCCCAGACTATTATTCCTCCTCCACCAAACTTTACAGTTGGCACTATGCATTGGGGCAGGTAACGTTCTCCTGGCATCCGCCAAACCCAGATTCGTCTTTCGGACTGCCAGTTGGTGAAGTGTGATTCATCCCTCCAGAAAACGCGTTTCCACTGCTCCAGAGTCCAATGGCGGTGAGCTTTACACCACTCCAGCCATCGCTGGTGATCTTAGGCTTGTGGGCGGCTGCTCGGCCATGGAAACCCATTTCATGAAGTTCCAGACAATCAGTTCTTGTGCTGATGTTGCTTCCAGAGGCAGTTTGGAACTCGGTAATGAGTGTTGCAACCGAGGACAGACAACTTTTATGTGCTACGCGCTTCAGCACTCAGCGGTCCTGTTCTGTGAGCTTGTGTGGCCTACCACTTTGTGGCTAAGCCATTGTTGCTCCTAGACATTTCCACTTCACAATAACAGCACTTACAGTTGACTCGGGCAGCTCTAGCAGGGCAGACATTTTACAAACTGACTTGTTGGAAAGGTGGCATCCTATGATGATGCCACATTGAAAGTCACTGAGCTCTTACGTAAGGCCATTCTACTGCAAAGGTTTGTCTATGGAGATTGCATGGCTGTGTGCTCGATTTTATACACATGTCAGCAACGGGTGTGGCTGAAATAGCAGAATCCACTAATTTGAAGGGGTGTCCACGTTCTTTTGTATATATAGTGTATGTATACAGTGCATTTGGAAAGTATTCAGACCCCTTGACTTTTTCTACATTTTGTTATGTTACAGCCTTATTCTAAAATGTATTTAAAAAAATGTTCCACCTCATCAATCTACACACAATACCCCATAATGACAAAGCAAAAACAGGTTTTTTGAAATGTTTGCAAATGTATTAAAAGAAAATGGAAATATCACATTTACATAAGTATTCAGACCCTTTACTCAGTACTTTGTTGAAGCACCTTAGGCAGCAATTACAGCCTCGAGTCTTCTTGGGTATGACGCTACAAGCTTGGCACACCTGTATTTGGGGAGTTTCTCCCATTCTTCTCTGCAGATCCTTTCAAGCTCTGTCAGGTTGGATGGGGAGCATCGCTGCACAGCTATTATCAGGTCTCTCCTGAGATGTTCGATCAGGTTCAAGTTCGGGCTCTGGCTGGGCCACTCGAGGACATTCAGAGACTTGTCCCGAAGCCACTCCTGCATTGTCTTGGCTGTGTGCTTAGGATCATTGTCCTGTTGGAAGGTGAACCTTCGCCCCAGTCTGAGGTCCTGAGCACTGTGGAGCAGGTTTTCATCAAGGATCTCTCTGTACTTTGCTACGTTCATCTTTCCCTCGATCCTGACTAGTCTCCCAGTCCCTGCCGCTGAAAAACATCCCCACAGCATGATGCTGCCACCACCATACTTCACCGTAGGGATGGTGCCAGGTTTCCTCCAGGCGTGATGTTTGGCATTCAAGCCAAAGAGTTCAATCTTGGTTTCATCAAATAAAAATGTGGAAAAGGTCAAGGGGTCTGAATACTTTCCGAATGCACTGTATATATGTTATATAACAGCATAACTCTATGGAGTGTTTTCATTGGCTCATGTTACCTTGAGGAACTCAAGCTCGGACTCGTCGGTACTCATCGTGGAGTTATTGGCATGTAACCTTAGCAATTCCTCCTTTAGGTAAGGCAAGGCTCTTTTCTCCATGACGCTCTTGGCAACGTACTGGTCTGGGCGATAGTAGTTCCTCCCATAAACCTTTGGAAAATATCAGACTAAGTCAGTCATCACTCAACTATAACATTTCCAGAGCTAATATTACAAAATATTTACCATGGATGGGCATTTGAAATTATTTTACTATTCAAATAATATAATGACATCGTATGATAGTCAATATTTTTTATAAATAATAAATTTTTTTTTTGGTTATTGACTCTCGACCAATCAGAATGACGCAAATACACATGGCAGAGGTAAACAGCGAACATTCTGCACATATTTAACCCCTTTTTTAAATTGGCACAAAACTACCTCCATACTTCCATTCATTTGTATGGGTTACTTTCAGATGAGTTCCGTGATACTTGAGGAGGTCATAGAGCAAACCGGAGAACACCATCGTGTTTGTGAGAGTCTTCCCTTTCCATAATGGGGTCATATTAGTTTGTAGCCCAAACGGTTCGGACAGTACAGACAAACGTTGGCACATTGGCAGTACCGACTTCAGACGAGTCCCGTGACACTTGTGCGGGTCGTAGAGCAAAACTGAGAACACCATTGTGTTCGTGAGAGAAACATTCAGACGCTACAGACGTTTTCCTGAGAAGACAGCTTTTCGGGATATGTCCTGGTCTGACAAACAGCCCTGTAGCCTGGCACCTTCCACCGCAGATGCTGAAGGCTGACATAGGTGGATGTGGTGGATTGAGACGCAGCCCATGCTGCAGATATCTCTAGCTTAAACTGACAGATTTTGATGGGGATTTTTTTATTATGTTAATTATTTTGACACACGGGTGCGTCAATAGATGTAAGGATTAAAATAGGGCTAAAAAAAATGCCTCCAAAAATGAAAACTCATTCAAAGTAATTCAATACTAACATCCGTTTAGATATCCGGATATTCGATAAACAGTGCCCAATTCTGCCCATCCGTAGTATTTACAAGGTCATATCTATTTAAGTATGCAGTAAAACCCACCTAGACCTTGACAATCAGGTGAGTATACAGCATATCAAAGATACCATTATATACAATACCTCAGGCATGCAGTCTCCATACTCTGCTTGGAGAGCCAAGGCACCCAGATATAGGCCTGTCTCTTCATGGCAGGCCAACCTGTCCTCCAGTATATCTTTCCTCAGCTGTAGGTAGTACTGGTGACGAGTCAGTTTGTGCCTGCCAAAAACGCCAGTCACACACAACAATATGCTTACATAGAGAAAGCAGTGGACAATCTGCAATATTGCCTGACCTCTATGAATTCCATAGGTCGACCTTGAATACAATACACTGTAAGCATGAGAGGATGTGTGGTACTTACAAAAGGAGAGAGATGTCGTGGACAAAGAATTTCACCCTGAAGAAAAGGACAAACGTGGAGGTAGGCACTTTCTTCCAACTGTCGGGGGCAACCTTGGATATCTTTGTGTCATTGTCCAGAAAGAAGAACTCATTATCTAAAACCGAGATAAAAAGAAGAGTGACATGTTTAACACATGAACCATGTAAAGACAACCTTTAGCTTTTTCATTACTGTAGTTATAGTACAGCCATACATGACCCAACAAAACACCTCATTGAACTATTTCCAGTAAACTACATACAATATTTGTGCATTACCATCAATGTAAGCAAGGCCAAAGTAGAAGTGTTCCACCAGGTTGGAGTGGGCAACGATCATATCAAAGACATCCCCTCCTCCCGACTTGACGTCACACTTGACCAGGATGCTCTGTCCGTTTGGCATGACCACACTCAGCTCCCTCATAGTGGAGGGAGACTTCCCTTTCTTTGACTGGATTAAGAGACAGAAAGATAGTGATTACTATAAAGACAGACCAGTGACAGTTGGGGTGATATTAAAAGGCATTTGATGATGGAGCTCTTGATGATGAAAAGTCATAATTACCACAATAGATCCGGGCAGCTCCAAGACAACCAGAGGCCCGTCTAACTTTCTAATGAACTCAGGACCCATATCCTGCAGAAATAAAGAGGGAAACATTAAGAACTACAAAAATGTAAACCCAACATTTCACATGATTCACTATGATATCATACCTTGGCTTTCTTTTCATTAAGACTGACAGTGGACTCGTTTAGATATGTGTAAAGTACTGGTCTGACGCTGCCACGGCGAAAGCCATCCAGGTAAGGGCTACAGGGGCTACGTGACTGATAGCTGCAGGAACTCTCTCTGTGACGTGACCCCTGGGGAATTCTGGGAGATAAAAAGACAGATTACAGGGATTCAATTCTTTAATTGATTGCCATAGACTGTTGGGTGAACTATCCCTTTAAAAAAAAAAAAATTTGTAAAGCTGATAATATGTGTATGTGCTTTTGTTGTTTGAAAGGCGACAGCTCTTACCCTCTGCTGAGCTCGGCTTGGAATGTTGGGGTGCTTCTGTTTCTCAGTGCCCAGGTAGAGTTGTGGTATGAGGCACTTCCTGAGAGACTGTGAAGCCTCTCTCTGACCATCTGACTCCGGTCAGTAAGTTGAGGACCATTCTCAGCCATGGACACATGATCAACCTAGAAAACACAATAGAATGACAGCTACTGAATTAGAAAAGTTGCACTGACTATCCTTAAAAATAACCATGTCTCAAATCAATATGATCCCAATTGAAACCCAGCTGTAGATTGTAGCCAATATAGAGTTCCAGCCAGCCAACAGTCCGTAGTGTCACAATATGGAATAGAGGCCAATGTATTTCTAGGAACTATGACCTTATAATGTCAGTGTGCTGGACAGCACATGGAGTGTAAGGTGATAGTGATAGCTATACTGACTACAGGTGCATTGCCTAAACCAAAGGGAATGTGGGTGAACTCACAGAGTCCCTGAACACATCTTCTACTAGCTGTCTGATGAGCATCTCTGGTGGGGGCAGTTGAGCAGCCTTGATGTGCTGTTCACAGGTCTCCAGCACAGTCACGAGATCTGCTCGTCTCTGGACCGTGTCCTCACACATACTCAGCAAGAGGTTGTTTAGGTTGTCACTCAGCTGAATGGGCTGGTTTTGAGGTAGTTGATAATCAACGGACCAGAAGAGGGTCATTCCTAGGGAATATACAATCATCTGAAGAAAACAAAGAGAAAAACAAAGAGAAAAACAAGGGTACAGTAAACATGTCGTCCTCCACGAATGATGCATGTCCCCCCCCCCCCCCCGCAGATTGGTCATTCGGTGCCAGAGGAGTAGCGTTTTAAGTGTTTTTCACAAAATTATAAATGGCGGAAAATCCATCACGGCGGACCTCTTGTCCCTGAGGCAAATTTGTTCCTTGTGAGTATAGAAACCTATGTACCGAATTTCATGACTTTAGGTCAAACGGGTTGAGGGGCGTGACCTTTCAAAGTTTGCATTTTCTATTGCTTGTTATCTGGCCAATCAGTGTAATTTTGTAAATGCCGTCTCTATGGTAAGACACATCATTCACCCAAGTTTCGTCAAAATCGGGCTAGTGCTGTCTGAGATATTGTGCGTGACGAACATACAAACGTACGGACAGAGACGGATCCACAGGACAATGAGTAAAATCTTTCATGAGGAAACCAAAAGTCAAGAACCAGAACAGTGGTGAGATGTCAAGCCAATGACCATAGGAGTTGGCCATATAGCACAGACAGATATGAAATCAGACTAGTAGTGAGATACGATGACATTGAGATCAGGGTTTATTGATCACCTTCTCCGAGGCTGTCCTGTTGGAGGCAGCGTGCCCCTCTTGTACCTCTGGAGCAGTGAAGGAGCCCAGGTCCTCTGACCGGGCACAGCTCTTAAAAGCAAGGTTCCCAGTGGCTGACAGCAGCATTGAGCCAGGGCTCAGTACACTGCACATGTTACCAGGACCTGACGAGAGGACAAAAGACAAAAACCATACTATTAACTTGCATGTTTGTATGGCTATAGGGATAATACACTCCAAAAAACAAAGTTTGTCAGACGTTAGAAGTAGAGCATGATATGATATGGTGATGCCTATCCTTCCCATTAATCTCAGATTTGAGGCCTATTTCTTCCAATGTGTAAAGATGCATATAAAAACAGAAGTCATGGGATATGAACTCAGCTCAACATAATAGCACTTTTGAGGTCTGGCAAATCTTTTGATGGGGCGTGAACAATCCCTTTAAGGTCAAAAGATCCTGCCAGTGTGTATTATCATGGATCAGGAAAGGGATATAAATATGGCCAGGTACCTTTGTGGGAGATGTCCATTAAGGCCTCGGCAGTGCCCAGTAGCAGACACCATACCTCACCCTCCTCCAGAGGTGACCCCCGGGCCTCTAGCACCTCCGCCAGGGTCACGAACGTGCCCATCCTGGGGGACACAGCCATGGGTAGATACAGTCATACATTATCTAAAGGTGGGAATCCTTTTTGTAATTTCTGCCTCAAACGCTGTAATAGCGAAATATGAGCGTAACATGTTTCATCATAGTCTCTGTGACAAAATAAGCGAAGCTGTTATTTGGATTACAATGACACTTGATTGTTTCCATAATCATTTCTAAATTTGAAAAGTGTCCACACAACCATATTATCTAATTGCATAAATCATTATCTCAAAGTGATCATTTTCTCTGACAAGATAAAGATATTAGGAGAACAACAGTACATTTGGCCCATTAGACAAGTAGCTATTGATGATTATCTACAATGAGTGAGGTGATTGCTTGGACTAATGGACTCATGCAAAGCAATACATACGCCCCCTCCCCTTCTCTACCCATCTGTTAATTTCCCCTCTCCCTCTCTCACACATGAACACCAGGCTTTCACACATTCACAGTGAGCTGTCAGTTTGCCCTATAATAGGCTTTCGCAGAGCCTGGAGGATTTGCTCTAATATGGCTGCTCTCTCTGTGCCTTTCATTTTTCTCCCTCTCGTCACCAAGGTGACTGTGAAGCATTACAATGAGAAGAGGTTCTGTGACATATCAAATTACACTGAACAAAAATATAAACGCAACATGCAACAATTTCAAAGAATTGACTGAGTTACAGTTCATATAAGGAAATCAGTCAATTAAAATAAATTCATTAGGCCCTAATCTATGGATTTCACATGACTGGGAGTACAGATAGGCATCTGTTAGTCACAGATACCTTAAAAACAAAGGTAGGGGCAGAAAACCAGTCAGTATTTGCCTCATGCAGCGTGACACATCTCCTTCACATAGAGTTGATCAGGCTGTTGAGGGGTGCTCTCATCTTATCTACCAGCATAGACAGGGCTCTAACTCCTCTAGCTCCACATGGAGCCGTGCATTATCATGCAGACACATGAGGTGATGGCTGCGGATGAATGGCACGACAATAGGCCTCAGGATCTCGTCACGGTATCTCTGTGGATTCAAATTGCCATCGATAAAATGCAATTGTGTTTATTGTCCGTATAGGCTTATGCCTACCCATACCATAACCCCACCGCCACCATGGGGCACTCTGTTCACAACCTGAACATCAGCAAACCGCTCGTCCACATCACGCCATACACGTGGTCTGCGGCTGTGAGGTTGGTTGTACGTACTGCCAAATTCTCTAAAACAACGTTGGAAGCAGCTTATGGTAGAGAAATGAACATTCAATTATCTGGCAACAGCTCTGATGGACATTCCTGCAGTCAGCATGCCAATTGCACACTCCCTCAAAACTTGAGACATCTGAGGCATTGTGTTGTGTTACAAATCTGCACATTTTAGAGTGGCCTTTTATTGTCCCCAGCACAAGATGCACCTGTGTAATGATCATGCTGTTTAATCAGCTTCTTGATATGCCACACCTGTCAGGTGGATGGATTATCTTGGCAAAGGAGAAATGCTCACTAACAGGGATGTAAACAAATTTGTGCACAGAATTTGAGAGAAATACGCTTTTTGTGCATATGGAACATTTCTGGTAACTTTTATTTCAGCTAATGAAACATGGGACCAACACTTTACATGTTGAGTTTATATTTTTGTTCAGTATAAACCTAATGTTAGAGGGATACTGGTTCACTTTTCTTTCAATCAAAACTCAACGTTGTGAAGTTATACACTGATTGTGTGATTAATGTAGCTACATGAATGTAGCTATATGTGATTCCTGAAAATCTAAATCAAAGGATATACAGTACTATGATAAAATAAACGTCAATGCTTTAATTGACAGTGTAGCATCTCTGTGTCACACCCTGGCTCTGGGACTCTATTTGTTGAGCCAGGGTGTGTTTATTCTATGTGTTTATTTCTATGTTGGGGGTTCTAGTTTGTTGATTTCTATGTTTGCCTGAGTGACTCCCAATCAGAGGCAACGAGTGTCAGCTGTTGGCTGGTTGTCTCTGATTGGGAGCCATATTTAAACTGTCTGTTTTCCCTTTGTGTTTGTGGGTTTTTGTTCCGTGTTCGGTCATTGATACCGTGGACTTCACGAGTCGTTTCTTGTTTTGTATCATGTTTAAACTTTAACTAATTAAAGTATGTTTGTTCATCACGCTGCGCCTTGGTCTCTCCCTGACGATCGTGACAGAAAAACCCACCATGCAACGACCAAGCAGCGTGTCCAGGGGCAGCTCTTGGGCTGGACATGGGAGGAAGCGCCGGGAGAAGAGACGGTGGAGGCGCGCCGTAGAGAGGAGCAGGCAGCCTGGACATGGGAGGAGATATTGGACGGTAAAGGGTCCTGGACTTGGGAGGAAATCCTGGCCGGGATGGATCGCCGGCCATGGAGTGAGACAGTGGAGAGGCGACGGAGAGAGGAGCAACGGCGTGATCAGGGTCGTCGTCGGACGGTCGAGAGGCAACCCCAGAAAATTTTTAGGGGGGGGCACACGGCATGGACGACGGGGCTGACGGAGGCAGAAAAGGGGCGGATCCAGAAGGCCACCAGGTTACGGATACACCGCCCTGTACGTCCTGTGCGGATGCCTCACACAGAGTGTGTGAGGGTAGGCATTCAGCCAGGACGGGTTGTGGCCGCTCTTCACTCCAGGTCTCCTATCCGTCTCCACAGCCCGGTTCGGCCTGTTCCTGCTCCACGCACCAAGCCTACGGTGTGCGTCGCCAGCCCAGTCCGGCCTGTCCCTGCTCCACGCACCAAGCCTACGGTGTGCGTCGCCAGCCCAGCCCGGCCTGTCCCTGCTCTACGCACCAAGCCTACGGTGTGCGTCGCCAGCCCAGTCCGGCCTGTCCCTGCTCTACGCACCAAGCCTACGGTGTGCGTCGCCAGCCCAGCCCGGCCTGGCCTGTTCCTGCCACTCGCACCAAGCCAGGGGTGCGAGTCGTCAGCCTGGTCCGGTCCTTTCCTGCCTCACGCACCAAGCCAGGGGTGCGCGTCGTCTGTCTGGCACAACCCGTGCCTGGGTCACCGGTGCCTAACCAGGTACCGGTCAACGGCTCCACTACGGAGTTGAAGCTAACCGCTCCTGCTACGTCCAGTCCAGCTCCAGCCAGCGGGGCCAGACCGGACCAGGGGCGCTATGGGGGGTTTGTTGGAGGGTGGTGGGCAAGGCCGGAGCCAGAACCGCCGCCGAGGAGGTATGCCCACCCAGCCCTCCCCTGTTTTGCTCTTATTGAGGCGCGGTCGCAGTCCGCGCCTTTAGGGGGGGGTACTGTCACACCCTGGCTCTGGGACTCTATTTGTTGAGCCAGGGTGTGTTTATTCTATGTGTTTATTTCTATGTTGGGGGTTCTAGTTTGTTGATTTCTATGTTTGCCTGAGTGACTCCCAATCAGAGGCAACGAGTGTCAGCTGTTGGCTGGTTGTCTCTGATTGGGAGCCATATTTAAACTGTCTGTTTTCCCTTTGTGTTTGTGGATTTTTGTTCCGTGTTCGGTCATTGATACCGTGGACTTCACGAGTCGTTTCTTGTTTTGTATCATGTTTAAACTTTAACTAATTAAAGTATGTTTGTTCATCACGCTGCGCCTTGGTCTCTCCCTGACGATCGTGACACTCTGGTTCCTGCAGGTGGAGACATGTCTACAAAATATGTAGGAAGTAAGTTGTGGTGACGTCATCATTACAGTTATACCATAAGTTGTATAGCCTTGTTGGTGTTGTGAGTCAGGGATAACAATAATATAATATGCCATTTTTTAGCAGACGCTTTTATCCAAAGCGACTTACAGTCATGCGTGCATAAATATACATATTTTTGTGTGTGGGTGGTCCCGGGGATCGAACCCACTACCTTGGCGTTACAAGCGCCGTGCTCTACCAGCTGAGCTACCACAAAATAGGTAGATGGATATTCATACTAAAAGACTGTGCTGAAGCCTAAAGCTCTCTGTACAGTGCCTTCAGAAAGTATTCATACCCCTTGACCTATTCCACATTTTGTTGTATTACAGCCTAAATTCAAAATGCATTAAATAAAACATTTACCCATCTACACACAATACCCCATAATGACAAAGTGAAAACATTTTTAGAAATGTTTGCAAATTTATTGAAAATGAAATAAAAACATTTCAATTTACATAAGTATTCACACCCCTGAATCAATACTTTGTAGAAGCACCTTTGGCAGTGATGACAGCTGTGAGTCTTTCTGGGTAAGACTGTAAGAGCTTTTCACACCTGGATTGTGCAACATTTTATTTTATTTATTTATTTTACCTTTATTTAACTAGGCAAGTCAGTTAAGAACAGATTATTATTTACAATGATGGCCTACACCGGCCAAACCCGGACGACGCTGGGCCAATTGTGCGCCGCCCTATGGGACTCCCAATCACGGCCGGTTGTGATACAGCCTGGAGTCGAACCAGGGGGTCTGTAGTGACGCCTCAAGCACTGAGATGCAGTGCCTTAGACCGCTTTTCAAAATTCTTCAAGCTCTGTCCAATTGGTGTTGATCATTGATAGACAACCATTTTCAGGTCTTGCCATAGATTTTCAAGTAGATTTAAGTCAAAACTGTAACTCGGCCACTCAGGAACATTCACTGTCTTCTTGGTAAGCAACTCCAGTGTAGATTTGGCCTTATGTTCTAGGTTGTTGTCCTGCTGAAAGATTAAATCATCTCCCAGTGTCTGGTGGAAATAGGGCTGTGACGGTCATGAAATTTCGTCAGCCGGTGATTGTCAAGCAAATAACTCTCGGTCTCACGGTAATTGACCGTTAATTAACATAAACACATTTAGCATCTCCTGGCTTTCACACATAGCCTACAAGCCACTGATACAGACCTTTGGAACATCTACATTACAAGTCTAATAAATCCATGTAATATTGCCTACACCTTCACAAAAAATCCATTATTTATTTTAGACAGGTCTAAAGAAGCATGATATGAAGAAAATGTAGTCTATTTCAGAAGAACAGAATAGCATACTCTGAGTTGTCCTTAT